CGGGCCCAGCTTCAGCAGCGCCTCCTGCGGGCGCCCAGGTCAGCGGCGAGGACCCAGGCGTCCGGGATCTTGGTTACCCTCCCAGAGCAAAGACCTGGTGGTCCACCATCCCCCTTCCCAAGAGGAGGACCCAGGCATCCGGGCTACCCGGCGGTACCTTGCTGAGCTGGGACATGACCTCCCAGAGGAGGGCGTGCAGCGTGGAGAGCTCGCGGCCCAGGTCGATGTAGCCCTCGAAGCTGGTGCTGTTGGTGAGGGTGTCCAGGTTGGAGATCTCGTAGAGGAACTGCTGCATGCTGGCCCACTCCAGCTCCAGGAACTCGTTCATGAAGGCCATGTACTCCTCCTTGCTGCCGAACCTGCAGGCGGGCGGGGCCATCCTTCATCCACCTCTTCAGCCATCCTTCTTCTGTCCAGTCATCTTCTGTCCATCCACCAACTCACCCATCATCTTCTATCCATCTTCTACCCATCTTCCAGCCACCTCATCCATCCCCCAACTCATGCAGCCACCTCCCATCCGTCCATCAACTCATCCATCTATCCACCAACACAGCCGTCCAGCTTCCATCCACCAACTCATCCCTCTGTCCATCTCATCCATACACCTCCCACTCATTATCCATTTTCCATCCAGCATCCATCCACCCATCCATCCATCTTCTGTCCATCCATCCATCTTCCATTCAACTCATCCACCAACTCATCCATCCATCTTCCGTCCATCCATCAGCTCATCCATCCTGTTTCTGTCCATCATCCAATCATCTACCTTCCATCCATCCACCATCTCATCCATTCACCTCATCCTTCCATTTTCTGTCCATCCTCCATCCTCCACCCATCAACTCATCCATCTTCTCTCCATCCATCTTCTGTTCCTCTTCCATCCATCAACTCATCCTTCCGTTTTCCGTCCATCATCCACCAACTCATCCATCTTTCATCCATCTCATCCATTCACCTCCTCTCCGTCATCCTTCTTCCATCTTTTATCCATCAACTCATCTATCCATCTTCCATCCATCCATCTTCTGTCCATCCAATAACTCATCCATCCACCCATAAATCCCTCTCCAAGCTGCCTGCCACCATCCCTCCCTCTAACCATCCTGCAACCCTCAATTGCCACCAGCATCCATCCAACTATTCTCCATCCATCCCTCTGTCCATCCCTCTCTGTCCGAGCGCCGGCGGGCGCTCACTTGGTGAAGTTGGCCAGGTTCTGGATGACCTTGGCGATGAGGGTGAGGGTGCGAGCCGTCTGCTCGTCGGGGTACTCCTGCATGAGGCCGAAGAGGCTGGGCGACATCACGGCGGGGCACAGGAACCGCAGGAAGAGCGAGGCGCTGATGAGCCGGTCCGCGATGTCCTCGCGGCCCCGCTCGGCACACCGCAGCCGCCACGAAGCGAACACCTCCTTCAGCTCCCGCGGGAACACGCTGCGCCGGGGAGGGACACGGGGCCGTCAGGCACCCAGGTGGCCCGGGGGTGGCCCCCCACCACCGCACGGCCCCGGGCACTCACCAGTGCGAGTTGACCACCTTGCAGAGGGCGAGCTCGCAACACATGCGCAGGTTGGCCTGGTGGTCGGCCAGGGTGGAGGCCGAGCACTTCATGGGGTCCACCTCGCAGTTCTCCTCTGACTCGTACAGCGCCCGGATGAACTCACCTGCGCGGCAACATGGCCTTGAGCGGGGCTGGGGACTGCCCGACCGGCCCACGGCCAGGCCGCCCCACTGGGGACACGGCCATGTCCACCAGCAGGGACCACCCAACCATCCTAGGGTCAGTCCACCCCATTGGGGACATGGCCACGAGCGGGAACCACCCAACTGTCCCATGGCCAAGTCACCGTGTTGGGGACATGGCCATGAGCAGGGACCACCCAGCTGTCCCTTAGCCAGGCCAGCCTTTGGGGACATGGCCATGAACAGGGCCAGGGACCACTCTACTGTTCCACAGCCCCAAGTGGGGACCACCCAACTGTTTCACGGCCAGGCTATTCTGTTGGGGACACAGCCATGAGTGGGGACCACCCAACCATCTCATGGCCAGGCCACCCCACTGAGGACACAGCCATAACCAGTGAGCACCACCCCACGTTGGGTGTTGGATGGAAACCACCCAACCGTCTCATGGCCAGGCCACCTCACTGGGGATGAAGCCACAAGCATAGACCACCCAACCATCCCAGGGCCAGGCCACTTCACTGGGGACATTGCCATGAGTGGGGACCACCCCACCCCAGGCCACCCCAGCGTGGCAGGGCCCCACGCGCCCGTGGCGCTCACCGATGGCGTCCTTGAGGTATTTCTGGCCGATGAGTTTCAGGTACTCCTCTATGGCTTTCGTGGCGAGGGTGTTTTCCCGGAAGATCAGGTGCTCCCGGTCCATGAACCGATCCACCTCCGTCATGGCCATGTCCGACAGGAAATCCTGCCCGCCCAGCCCATCAGGGCGGTCCCCGCCCATGCGCCATCCATCCATCATCCCTCCATCCAGCCGCACCTGGCCCAGCCCCACCGTACTGGTCCACACGCATCCTCCACCCATCCATCCACCCTGCATCCATTCTTCATGCATCGTCTATCCATCCATTCTTCCATCCACCCATTTACCCTCCATCCAGCCCAGCTGTATCATCAGCATCTGCCCTTCCATCCATCCTCCGTCTGTCCTTCCATCTCCATGTGTCCTTCCATCCGGCCTCCATCCATCCCCCCTCCAGCCTCCATCCCCCCTTCTATCCATCTCTGCGTATCCTTCCATCTATCTTCCATCCCTCCTTCCATCTATCCTCCATCCGGCCTTCCAACCATCTCCATGCGTCCTTCCATTCATTCTCCATCTCCCCTTCCATCTCTAGCTGCCCTTCCATATGTCCCCCACCCACCCTTCCACCCACACTATCCAGCCTTCATCTGTCCTTCCATCCATCTGCCCTTCTATCCGTTCTCCATCCTCCATCCATCCATCCTCCATTCCCCTACTCTGGGGGATGTCCTCCATCCAGCTTTCCATCCATCTTCCGTCCATCTCTTCTTCCATCCATCCTCCATCTGCTTTTCCATCTCCATCCGCCCTTCCCTCCATCCTCCATGTGTCCTTCTATCTCTACCGGCCCTTCCATCCATGCACCATCCTCCATCCATCCATTCTCCATCTTCTAGCCATGCTCCATCTGTCCATCTCCAGCCACCCTTCCATCCATCCTCCATCCATCCATCTTTCATCTGTCCTTCCATCTCCATGCTCCATCCATCTATTCTCCATCTATCTTTCCATTTCCATCCCTGCATTCTCCATCTGTACTTCCATTCATTCTCCATCCATCTATTCTCCAGTCATCCAGCCATCCTCCAGCCATCCATCTTCCATCTGTCCTTCCAGCCACCCTTCCATCCATCTCCATCCTTCCATCCATCCATCTCCACCCATCCTCCAGCTGTCCTTCCTTCCCCATCCACTATCCACCCATGCTCCATCCAGCCATCCTCCAGCTGTCCTTCCTTCTCCTCCACTATCCACCCATGCTCCATCCAGCCATCTTCCCTCTGTCCTTCCATCTCCATTCTCCATCCATCCTCCATCCAGCCGTTCTTCCATCCATCCTCCACCATCCTTCCATTTCCAACCCCCTTCCATCTCCCCCAGCATCTACCCCTCTCCTCCCATCCCTCCACCACGCCTGCGTCCTTCCCCAGCACCCGCCACCCTACCCGTGTCTGCGCCCCTCCTCCCGGCACCCCCAGGGAGCCCCACCTTGGCCTTGCCGGTGCTCTGCAGGATGTGCACGAGGGCGCAGGCCACCTCCTCCTTGCTCTTGACGCTGAGCACGGGCTCCAGCACGGCGCACAGCATGCGGTAGTTGTTGGTGACGTACTCAGCAAACTCCTTGTAGAGCTCCATGGGGAGGATGCTCATGGTCTGGAAGCGGCTCTTGACCCGCAGGGCCGGGCAACCGGCTTTGCTCTTGCTGCCGCTGGGCTGGCTCAGCGGGTACCACTGCTCGGCGAAGTGGCGGCCCGTCACGCTGGCGATGGGGATGCTCACCATGCCCACATAGTTGCTCTTGTCCTTCTTGCGCTTCTTGTCGGTGTCCTTGTAGAGGTGGAGGCGGATGGTGCGCACGGCGGGCAGGTTGTTGAACTCAAAGTGCTCGCCCCAGAAGACGTTGTCGGTGCGCGCCTTGCTGGTGGTGCGGGCGTAGAGCATGTCGTCCAGGCACAGCTCGCAGTAGTAGCGCTTCTTGGGCGGCAGGTCCCGCGCCTCGATGATCCACAGCTTCAGCACGTTGTCCACCCGGCGGCTGTTGTCCTGCGGCGGGCGGGGAGGGGACGAGAGGGGGGCGGCGGCGTCAGGATGGACGCGGGGCACGGCGGGGGGGATGAGGTGGCTGGGGACAGTGACATCTGGGCATGGGGGTGGCTGGGGATGGTGACACCTGGGGATGGAGGTGACTGGGGATGGTGACACTCGGGGATGGAGATGGCCAGGGATGGTGAGACAACATGGGGATGGAGATGACCAGGCATGGTGACACTTGGGGATGGGGATGGCCAGGGATGGTGACATCAGGGTAGGAAGGTAGCCAGAGATGGTGACACCTGGGGATGGCCAAGGGTTGATGACACCAAGGGTTGGAGACACCAAGGGTTAGAGACACCGAGCGAAGATGCCGCTGGGGGATGATGACACTGAAGAACAGCGATACCAAGGGAGGATGTCCCCGGGGGATGGTGACCCTGGGCGATGGTGACCGCAAGGATGGTGACCCTAGAAGTGGTAACATCAAGGTTCATGATATCAAGGGTTGATGGCTCCAAGGGTTGATGACACCAAGGGTTGGAGACACCAAGGGTTGGAGACACCAAGGGAAGATGCCGCTGGGGGATGATGACATCAAAGCATGGTGACACCAAGAGAGGACATCCTTGGGGGGGGAGGGGGGAACGGCGACCCCGGGGCGCCG